ATAAATCACCTCAAACGGCATAAGGCTTCCGGCCACGACGGGCTGTCCAGATCTGTTTTTAAGAATGGAATCTCAGCCTTGGTTTTGGAGTTAACAAAACTCCTGGGCTCAGTGTGGGATAGGGAAGAGGTTCCAACTGAATGGTTTAAATCGGTGATCATACCGATTTACAAGAAAGGTGACAGATCCTCCTGTGAAAACCACAACCTTGGGGATCGCATAACACTGCCTACGATGTTTCAGCTTGGACAGATAAGATAATCTGGTGGATTACAAAGCAAACTGAACCGTTCTTTGAAATTCTCCCCCAAATCGTTCGTCCCTATTTTGAATAGTTTATATTCTTTTATCTCAGATTGTCTCTCTAACTGAGATTCGTCGACCTCCGCTACTACGTATCCGCCGGAACAGTCTGGCTAATTCCTGCTCTAGTGACTGAGTCCATTTCACTCGCTATTGTGACCCACCAGTTCTCACCGTTTGTTTAGAAGCTAACTGTATTGTTCATTTTAGCCAGCGTGCCCGTGGAATTGGAGCGTCACTTTCGTCTGTCTGGAGCTGTGTCAAAAATTGGCAGTGAACAGTAATGGACGGTGATGGATGCAGAATCGAAGAAATCATCAAATCGTTGGTTTCAGAACTCTTCTTTTTGTTTCTGTGATCTGCAGTTGTTTGGCGCAGGTGCTTAGACGATGAACAAGCACTTAACCAACTGTTTACGGGGACCCACTCGACAAGTAAGGCTCTATCATTTAGAACAATACGTATTCCACACTGACCTACCGAACGCGCTTCGTCTTCACCTGATTAGCGGAGTAATGATCACGAAGACAAATCCGGCGCATCTAAGTGGCTTATGGTACTGGGATCCCTATTTCGCGGCTCCACCGCACATCAGGTGCTAACTAGTCCATTGTTGACCTGCCTGCAACAGAGTCCTCACGTTGAAGGCTCCCAGATTCAGTGTTTGACGAGGCTTCAGAATCTACAATTGTTTTCGTGGTAAACTGTTTACAGTGCTGTTCGGTAATGAGTTTGAGTGACTGGCAAGCGAGTTTCCTGATGGGGCGTTACGGGTCGGTATAATAAGCATTTGGAGGGGGTTGTGTGTGGATATGACAAAGAGCAGTAGTCCACCTATCACCACCCGCTCCCAGTATTAAACTGTGCTGTCGCTAAGCATCCGTATGAAACATCGAGATATTGTTTTCATTTTAGATAACTGTTTCTTAATAACCTCCAGATCTCTACGGGTGTTGTGGTGGCCTAATAATCGTGATTTCTAACGAGAAAAGAACATTCATTCCGGGATCACGTATGTTTTACTCATAAAACACAAACCTGTGTTTGTTCTCCCTCCTTAGACCGGGAACCAAGTGCCATCAGGCTCTACTTGATCACTTCAGTCGCGATGCGATCGCGTCACCTGATCCGCCGCATGCAATTGACCGTAGTCGCCTGGGACGACTGGTTTTCTCCGATCCGAAGCGTCTAAAGGAATTGAACGCAATTGTGTGGCCTGAAATTGAAAGTCGAGTTCGAGAACTTCTTTGTGAGATCGAATCAAACTCGCGCGGCAATACGGGGAGAATTGAATCAACGTCACGCCCAGTGGTTGTGCTCGATGCTGCCGTGTTGCTTCAGGCAAAATGGGATCTCATGTGTGATGAGGTGAATTTTTGAAACCGTACTCATGCATTCATTGTTCTTGGATCATAACCATTTCACTATCTCCCCGGGGTTTACGAATAGACAGTGTCTCCCATAGAGTTTGCTCCGACATCAACGTATTGCTGGTCATTCAAGTAGAGTTATTTTTATGTATGTGCCCTTAAGGTTAACACCGTTTCTGGTTTTATGTGCCTAAAGATTGTTTATATCACCGATAGGCATTGTGCTTCTCAAATTATTGATACTATCTTTTTGGAGTTAACAAAACTCCTGGGCTCAGTGTGGGAGAGGGAAGAGGTTCCAGCTGAATGGTGTGAATCGGTGATCATACCGATTTACAAGAAAGGTGACAGATCCTCCTGTGAAAACCACAGAGAAATTAGTTTAATCAGCAATTCATAAAGCTGATTATCTCACAACCACGTGAAAGAGCATACCAGATTCGGAAACTTGCAATCACCATCCATCCTGGATTTAGTGTTGCCGTTCTCTGCTGACTTTATCGCATAATGATCAACTCAGGGGACATCCACTAAAGGTAAAGACCCAGCCACCTTGATTGCCGGTATCACTCGTTTGCAGTCAGAGTGTGCGGCGCATGGAATTCTCTCCCATCTGATGTAGTATGTGCTCCTACAGTTGAACTATTTAAATCGCAACTTGATAAAGCATTGGAACACTTAAAATTTCAACATCCGTGAGTGATCACAC